GGGGGGGGTTTCTGGTGGGGGGGAACTCTAAGGGGCAGGGGAGCTGGCACTTAGGCATTTTGGATGGGCACCTGGCACTGGGGGGTCAATCACAGACTGTAATCTGAGTCTGTGATTTAACGCCTTCCCTATCTTGCACTCTGTGACATACTGTAGCAGTAGTGTAAGTAAAAAGTGTGTTGGTGGTAGGATATGCTATTTGCATCTGCTTAACTTGCAAGTAGCAGTGATGCTAGCAGGGACAGAGTTAAGACCCCTCCTGTAGGATTTTCTATGGGCAATGGTAGACAGAACCATTTTTTTAAAAATCAGAGTTTGACAAAAATCAGGCAGAATCGGGTCTTCATAGGCCTTGAGACTCATAAGATGAAGAAGTCAACAGACTTTATGCTTTATAGAATGCTTTCAAAAACACCTTACAGCCAAACAGAAAGCTTTTAGATACTTCCTATAACAAAGGCTGTCTTTTGAAGACTCGCTCTCTACCTCTCATTGCATTTTCTGATTATTGTTTTCATACTTTTTGTGGTTCAATTGTGGGGCTTCAAAATGCAGTCAATGAAAATATACTAAAATATTACCTGGTGTCATTTTTAGGTGTGGGAACGAATAAGAAATTGCAAATTTCCAGAGGAGTTCAACAAGAAATTTCCTGCAGAGGTACAGTAAAACACATTTTATCTATTTCTTCATTATAAATTTTCAGTATTTTATTTCCTCTAATATATTCTGTACTTTGGTTTTCATTGTTTTTTAACAGAAACTCCTCATTGAGAAATTGCTCTCAATAAATGTAGCAAAAAGACCTTCTGCATCTCGTGTACTGGAGCTTTTGAAGCTTGTGGATAAGAAGAATCCAAATAGCGCACGTACATATTAGGCCTCTGTTTTAAAGGAAGAACTGAAGCTCTGTCTCAGTCCAGAATTTGACCCCATCCACTCTGTTAAAATGGCTGAAACGTGACAAATGTATTTGCAATCTTGGGTCCAAGTCTATTGCCTTGCACAAAACAGATTTCCATGTGGGTCTCTGCAGGAACTGGAGGAATGAAAGTCTCTTGTGATCCAGAGCATTAGTATAAATTTCTACTTACACTCCATCAGCTGGCGCCTTGTGCTCCTGCCCTTTCTCACCTGTGGGCAGGTGGTTTACAGATGGATCAGCAGTCATGACTCCATTGTTATTTCCCTCCTCTGCTGTGGAGGCAACCACTATGTAGTATTGGTCCTTTATGGCTTGGAGAAGTTCTCTAGCATGATCGCTCCACAACCTGCCTTACTGTTCAACAGAACATTAGCAGAACTGGTGCAGAGGGATTCTTATTTCCATAAGCATGAAGGACATAGGAGTTGTCCTTTTATACTTATGTTTGCTGCTGCCTGCTGTTTTAAATCTTTTTCTCACTCCCAGAGTGTCCAATAACCATTTATTTGTATTTCACTTAGCAATATTGTGGGTTTTTTATAGTAGGAAATTTCAGCTGCATTCGTGGGAGTGTTACAGCTAGAGTTGTAAGAGAGACTTAGGTGCAAAAGTAGCAGTTAGGCACCTCAGTACAACCTTTAAACACCACTTGCACTCACAAAATCACTGCTCAGCTAACATCTATTACTATATGTTGCTAAAGTCAAGTTTCTACTAGGGATGTTAAATATTCGTTAATTGAATAGTCGATTAAAAATTCTTATCGGTTAGTTGACTATTCTGTAGTCCCTGGGGGTGGGGCTGGAAGCCAGTGCACTCTGGCTCCACTCCTGAGGAGTCCCCTGCTGTGCTACTGCCTCTGTATCAGACGCAGCAGTGCAGGGTGGCAGCAGTCCCTGTTCAGGGGAGGGGCTGAGCTCCTGGACCTGGCACGAGCTGGAACTGAACTGGGCTGCCTGCCCTCCTGGCTTCTAATACACTTTTAATGCAGAGCTGCAGTGGAGCTAGGTCCTGGACCCTGTGTGAGCCAGACCTGAGCTGGGCTGCTGGCCAGCCTGCTAAAAAATGTACTGGTGGTGGGGGTGGGGTAGGGAAATATATGTATTCTATAGCATTCATCTATAAACTTTTGCTTATCGGTTAATCAATTAATCAACTACACTATTACATCCCTAGTTTCTACTGGTGAAGCTCCCAACTTTTCATGACTGGACATGCTCACCTAGGATGTGGAAAACCTAGGGTCAAATCTTTAATCTGTCAGGTCCTCCCACCTCGCAGGAGAATATCTAAATCACTGGTTTCAATCTCTTGTTGAAACTGCTCCACTTTATAGAAAATAATTAAATATTCAACAGGCTAGAGAATGAGTGTGAGGGACTTTTGTGGGTAGGTCAGTCTTGTGGGAGTTGGGAAAACCAAGTGCAATTCCCTTTTTCACGTCAAGGAGACTGGAGTACTGAACCTCACCTCTCCCACATTCTGCATGAGGGCTCTAAGGGCTACGCTAAAGTGTCAAAAAAGGATATGCAAATTCCTCAGTGGAGCTTTCAAAAGTGAAAGTAGTTTAGACATGGCTTTTTCAGCAAAAGGCCCCCTCCTTTGTTGAAAAGCCTTGTAAACCTCATTTTTTGAGGAAGAGAGGCTTTTCGACAAAAGGGAGGAGGTTGCCGAAAAAGCTGTGTGTAAACTAGTTTAGTTTTCGAAAGCGCAATCGGAAGATATGCAAATTCCCATGGAATTTGCATATCCTCTTTCGACTGTTCCATGTAGTCTAGAAAAGCCCTAACTGCTGAGAGATAGGGTGCGTCTCCTTTGGGCTATGCTTACACTGCCCTCTCTTGTGCAAGAAAATATGCAAATGAGGCGAAGCGGCGACTATCGCCACGCTTCATTTGCATACTTACTGAGCCGCCATTTTTGCGCAAGGGGCTTTTGCACAAAAAGGAGCCGTCTACATGGCTCCTTTTTGCACAAAAGCCCTCTCTTGCACAAGAGCCATTCTTCCTGAAAAAAAGTGACAGAACTTGCGTAAGAGCCAAGGAGGTTTTTGCACAAAAAGGAGCCGTGTAAAGGCTCCATTTTGTGCAAAAGCTTCTTGTGCAAAAATGGCAGCTCATTTAGTATGCAAATGAGGTGTGGCAATATTCACTGCTTCACCTCATTTGCATATTTTCTTGCACAAGAGAGGGCAGTGTAGACGTAGCCTTGGTTTTTTTCATGAAAAATTACTAACCAAGCTTAGGTGCCTAACTCCAGGAGAAAGGTGTGAATCCCAAGTGGAGGTAGATGTCTTCCTCTAATTCAGACTTAGGTGTTCAGCTCTCTTAGGCCAGTGGTTCTCAAAGAGGGCCGTGAGAAGCTTTCAGGAGGGCTGCCAAACAGGGCAAGCATCAGCTGGGGCCCAGAGCAGAAATCTGAAGCCTCACCACACAGGGTTGAAGTCTGGGGCCCTAAGCCCCATCACGCAGGCCTTAAGCCAGTGGAGCTTTTCAGGGACCTCTTTGTCATGGAGCTCCAAGCAATAGCTTTGCTTGCTGCCTCCTAATGCCAGCCCTGGCTTTTACTTGCAGAAGACCAGTTATAGTGGCACAGATGGGCTGTGGAGTTTCTATAGCATGTTTTGGAATTTTCAGAAAGAAAAAAGTTGAGAACTTCTGGCTTAGACCACTTGTCTTTCCATAGCATTTCCACCTAAGCTAGCTAGTATGCTCAGTGGCTGGCTTTTGTGAATCCCATTCTAACTGTCCCTATGCATTATATAGCAAACCTGGGTGCCTAACTCAGGGCTGTGAATTCCTCTAAGAGGCAGGGCTCCAAAGGTCCCCTTTGTGAATATATAGCCTCTCAGTGGAGACCGTTCTGGTGTTTTACAGTGCAGGAAGATAGTTGGATTCTCTTCTAGACAAGGTCTGTGTTGTGTGCTCTTTACTAGCTGATCGTTATCTACATATAATTCGCAATAGCTAACCTCCTTGTTGCTGGTACATGTTAAAGTACCTTGTAAGTTGATTTTTATTAATTAGTATAATTAACATATCTTTACATGTTAAAGCACCTTGAAATAAAAATCAACATACATTAGTATAATTACTTTCACTCCAGGTAAAGCCACCAAACAAGTTAATGTTTGCAAAATGGAAAATAATAAAATTTGTAAGAAAGCCTTAGAAATGTTACACATATTTGAAGATTGCAAGCTTTTTGTGCTGTGAACTTTGTCTTTATGTCTGAATGTTAAATTACTAGCAAATTGCTGGTGCTGTGTATATATAAGGTTAATACTATAGAGTGTTTCAAACAATGAAGACATCAAAAATAGTTAAGCTCTTAAAGAATTTGGCCTTTTGTGAATTAAAGCTCAATTTAATATTTACTTTAGACCAGGTGTCACAATGAGTTAACACAGCAAACTTTTTAGATGAGCCTTGCTTTTGAGTTACAATTTTTGGTTGTGTCCCCTCCAAGCCCAGACAAAAAGAGGTGAGTTAGGGAATAAAGGTGGCACTCCCTTCTTAAGCCCTGCTGCTTGTTTTCTGATTATCTATCTTCCCCAGTGTCCCTCTGCACCTTCACAGTTTGAAAATGGTGAACAGATAAGATCTGTATCTATCTTTTGACAGCTGGGATTTGTCTCCAAAATGTAAATCCACATTCTACCCCTGGCACCTGTGTTGATGGCTTGGGCTCCACAGTGTTCCTTCTATAGCAGTCCCATAGTAATTATGGTCTCCCATCTCTGCCCACTCTTCCATTATATATGCCACATGGAGAGGGGGTGCTGTGAACCATTGAATCAAACTGTAAACCCTGTATATGATGGAAACCACTTCAAGCCAGCAACCCCCCCTCCACTCCTAATTGTGGTGAGTCAGGTGCCCCATAGCAAGTGGTTATGAAGGGAAGTGAAAATGGAAGGTGCTATCAGTAAGGGTGTGTCTACACAGCAAAGTTATTTAGGAATAACAGCCGTTATTCCAAAATAACTATGCGAGCATCTACAGAGCAATTCTGTTATTTCAAAATATTCCGACTTCTGTAAACTTCATTCTGCGAAGAATAATGCCTATTCCGAAATAGCTATTTCCAAATAAGGCATGTGTAGATGCTCCACTTCTGCTATTTTGAAATAGCTCCTTCTCAGGGCCATTCTAAGTTATTCTTCCTGGGGCTCTAAATCGAGATAACACATCTACATTAGAGAAGCCTGCCTTGGACTAATTTTGAGGTTTCCCTGCAGTATAGACATGGTATTTCAAAATAAGCTATTTTGGAATAACTATTCTGGAATAGCTTATTCTGAAATAACTGTGCAGTGTAGACATAGGCTCAGGCACCTTCAGGGCAAGAAAATCTCCAGTATGTTGTGCAGAGAGGAACAGGGAGCACAGTAAATACCATCTCTTCTCGGCACTCCTAATCATTCTTTTCTCCTAGGATACTAACCCTGTCTTATAGGTGCCCAATTTCTGAGCCTTTCACTTGGCTCATCCCCTATAAGAGCAAAAGGCTCAGTTTGTCTTTTAACATTTTGTTGCATAGTTCAAGCACTTTAAATTTTTGGGAGCATGTTTTAATATAGCCTTGGCTGTGCTTATCATGAGCAGCTGGAGGCAAGAATCAGTCTGTCATAGGCATTTTTAATGATTTCACAGCTGCAATAGATCAGTGCCAAAGGATAGTATAACCATTGTTTAAAATCTGTTTTAAGAAAATAAGGCTCCAATCTTGCAGTGAGCAGAGATCTGCCTGATGGTATCTTGTGCTTATGTAGGGACCCGCTGGTCATCGTACACTGCTCTTGTTGCAGAAATATGGCCCAAATTTACAGTATTGTGTTGTAGATAAAGTTATATTCTGTTTGTTAGCAACAGTGGACAAATTCAGTATAAGAACAAAAATTGTGGCCAAGTGTTAGCATTGCTTGACTTTTTATTACGGTGAATATTATACCTTAAAAAATCCCCCACTGCAGGGTAACAGATGTATTCCTAAGTCTGTGCTCCTTGTAGGAGAGAAATTCGTTGCTGGCCTGCTGCTAATGTTCATTTTTTATTTAAATTTTCAATAAATTCTTGTGGTTTATTGTTCTGTAACATGAGACTAAGTCTAAACTTTGCTAATTTTTTGAAGGTGAAGCGAGATGATTGCTTCTGTATTAAAACAGATGTTTGACACTTTCCTGTTTTGGACTAATTCCTCTTCCTTAGTGACTCAAGATGTCAGTGAGAGAAATGCCAACACAGAAGAAAAAACACCTAATTGGATTTTCTTTCCTCTCAGGAAAAATTCTGAAATATTCATCTGAGATCCTCTGCTGAAGGTCTTGCCACACCCTGGCCCAAAAAGGGCTGGGGAGAGGTCCTTCCAAGCTGCCTAGAGCGGCTGTCTGGGACACAGCCAATCAGGGCCCAGCAGATCAGTATAAGAACTCCAGGGCCTGAGTGAGTTCAGTTACTTGTGGGAGCTGGAGGACTTTGGACAGGGTAGTACTGCCAGAAGGTGGGGAGAGTGAGGAAGAGCCTGAGCTGGTTGCTGGGATTTTCAGGACAAGGCCCTGAGGTAAGGATGAAGATGGCCTGGGGACAAGTGGAAGAGGCTCAGGGAATTAGAGCCGTGGCCTCACTTAGATGAAGGGAAACAGTGGAGAGCTACTATCTATAGGTTCCCTGAGCTGGGACCCAGAGTACTGTGTATGGGGGGGGGGGAGGAGGAGGAGGAGGAGGAGAAAGAACCTGAGTCCTCTCCCATTAGCCACAGTGGCCTGGATATTAAGGTGCCAGAGGGGGAACTGAATTGCAGTGGGCCAGCTTCAGCCAGAAAGGCCCTAAGAGGGTGAAGAGTTTCCAGGGAGAAAGTCCTGGGGCCATGGTTCCCCTACCAGGCTCGGAGGGTTATTTGTGAGCTGAGTCAGGGGAGGGCTACAGGGCCATTCCAGCCTACATGTACCTTGATAGGCCCCTGTTGGACAGTTTTCCTTGGGAAGGATCTGTTTGTTTAAAATTCAGACCATGTATGACTTGGCTGGAGGGCTGAATCACCAAAGACCTACCACAAACAGAGAGTGAGTGTGCAGGACCACACACTTGGCCAAGGAGGTGCTTGTGAGAGGTATTGTGTCCCATTACAACATCTTACTGGCAGATTTTTCCTTGGCAGCTGGCATGCAGTAACTAAGACCTCCTCTGACATTTGCCCATTAAACTTCAAGATTTACAACAATGAAGATTCTGTTCACCATAACCAATATGTAGAGAGTGGTGTCAGTCTAATCCTATGATGTCTACTACAGGTTGCTGCCTGCCCTATAGTAAAAGCCATTACTTCTAATTCAGCTCCTTTTTCTATCATGGATTTACTTTCACTCGTTGCTGCTCATGCACAATACTGCCACTGTTAAATAAGTATTGACCAAATGGAACCAAGTTGGACACAAAAAGTTACAGAAAGCTATTTAATTATGAACAAAACACTTCAAAATATCCACTATATTGATGAAATTTAGAGATGTCTATACAACCATCCACATTTACATAAAGCAATAATGATGCGATAAAGCCAAATATTTTGTGAAAGTTCATGCCATTTTTCAGCCATCACCAGTCACATTATGATTATGCTTATTAGACTGATTATGTTGACCAGAACCCCCTTAAAATGCAAATGTACAGACATCCTCATGGAGGATTCATATTAAGTGACCTAACACTGTATACTATAAAGACTTAACCAATATTTACTGACAGTCAGCTGATTATGCTCTACTCCATGCATCCTTATGTGGGAAAGGAAGGGCAGGTTTTTTTCCCCCCCCAAAGGAATCCTTTGAGATGTTGGTTATAAGGTCAAGTTCTGCCTACTTCAATCTTCCATCTGTCCACAATCACACAATTTAGCAGTGAGAATCTAGGTAGCTCCAAGTGGAGGTGTGCAGAAATTAATGCATAACAATTTGGTACAGTTGGCTGCCTGTCCTCTGAGGTGCCAGTCTGGAACTGCAGTGATAGTACTAATGGGTTTTTAATTTGTTAGAACCCTACAAAACTCCTGGCTAGGCACCTAAGTTATTTAGCATAATTGTAATTCTTATTAAATAGTGAGTTCAGTGACTAACTTCACTAAAAAAAAATCCAAACTCTACAAATGCTTCTGTGCTTTCAAAAGTGTGTGCTCTGAGCCTTTCAACATGGATTCCACCTTCAGCACTTGTGTGAATTCTTGATGTCCCCTGAAGGTATTTTAAAAATAGTTTTTTTCCAGAGTTCCTTTTATTACAATCTTTTTAGTCATGATCTGCTGAACTATTTCCAGGGCAGTTTGATGATAAATCTGCTGACTCTACAATATAAAGGAAAAGAAGGTTAATATATGTCAGGTATGTGAAGAGGAGATCCATAATTTTCTAAATGTTATTTTAAAAAAGTAGGGCTGGGGAGGCAAAAGAAAAGTGTTATGCCAGTGGTCCCCAACCTTTAGAGGCTCCCAGGCACCCGGGGGCGGGGCCACTCACGTGCCAGGCGCCCGGGGGCGGGGCCACGCGTCCTGGGGCACGCCAGGAGCGGGGAGG